GAGTCAGGGGGGGGGATGGAAGTTTTGATCATGTGACAGGCGATCCAATCATTGTCTGTTCTCCAAACCGGCCAATCACACAGCGTCCGACCTCCATCCGATGACAGAGCGCAGATTTTACTACTATGTGCGGAGTGATGTATAGACACCAATGTCAGGACCTCTATGCAGGGGGGAGGAGGGGGTTAACGTCTATAGAGGAGAGATGATCTGCAGGTGGAGGAGGGGGTTAATGTCTATAGAGCAGAGATTATCTGCAGAGGGGAGGAGGGGTTAATGTGTATAGAGGAGAGATGGTCTGCAGGGGGAGGAAGGGGTTAATGTGTATAGAGGAGAGATGGTCTGCAGAGGGAGGAGGGGGTTAATGTATATAGAGGAGAGATGATCTGCAGGGAGAGGAGGGGGTTAATGTATACAGAGTAGAGATGATCTGAAGAGGGAAGGAGGGGGTTAATGTATATAGAGGAGAGATGATCAGGAGGGGGTTAATGTGTATAGAGGAGAGATGATCTGCAGGGGGGGGGGTAATGTATATGGAGGAGAGATGATCTGCAGGGGGGAGGAGTAGGTTAATGTATATGGAGGAGAGATGATCTGCAGGGGAGGAGGGGGGTTAATGTGTATAGAGGAGAGATGATCTGCAGAGGGAGGAGGGGGGTTAATGTATATAGAGGAGAGATGATCTGCAGGGGGAGGAGGGGGTTAATGTATATAGCAGAGAGATGATCTGCAGAGGAGAGGAAGGGTTAATGTATATAGCAGAGAGATGATCTGCAGAGGAGAGGAAGGGTTAATGTATATAGCAGAGAGATGATCTGCAGAGGAGAGGAAGGGTTAATGTATATAGCAGAGAGATGATCTGCAGAGGAGAGGAAGGGTTAATGTATATAGCAGAGAGATGATCTGCAGAGGAGAGGAAGGGTTAATGTATATAGCAGAGAGATGATCTGCAGAGGAGAGGAAGGGTTAATGTATATAGCAGAGAGATGATCTGCAGAGGAGAGGAAGGGTTAATGTATATAGCAGAGAGATGATCTGCAGAGGAGAGGAAGGGTTAATGTATATAGCAGAGAGATGATCTGCAGAGGAGAGGAAGGGTTAATGTATATAGCAGAGAGATGATCTGCAGAGGAGAGGAAGGGTTAATGTATATAGCAGAGAGATGATCTGCAGAGGAGAGGAAGGGTTAATGTATATAGCAGAGAGATGATCTGCAGAGGGAGGAGGGGGTTACTGTATATAGAGGAGAGATGATCTGCAGAGGGAGGAGAGGGTTAATTTATATAGCGGAGAGATGATCTGCAGAGGAGAGGAAGGGTTAATGTATATATAGAGGAGAGATGACCTGCAGGGGGAGGAGGGGGTTAATGTATATAGAGGAGAGATGATCTGCAGAGGGAGGAGAGGGTTAATTTATATAGCGGAGAGATGATCTGCAGAGGAGAGGAAGGGTTAATGTATATATAGAGGAGAGATGACCTGCAGGGGGAGGAGGGGGTTAATGTATATAGAGGAGAGATGATCTGCAGAGGGAGGAGAGGGTTAAAGTATATAGCAGAGAGATGATCTGCAGAGGGGAGGAGGGGGTTAATGTATATATAGGAGGGATGATCTGCAGAGAGGAGGAGGGGTTATTTGTATATGGAGGATTGATGATCTGCAGAGGGGAGCAGAGGGTTCATGTAAATTGAGGAGAGATGATCTGCAGGGGGAGGAGAGGGTTAATGTATATAGAGGAGGGATGATCTGCAGGGGGGAGGACAGATGATCTGCAGGGGGAGGAGAGGGTTAATGTATATAGAGGAGAGATGATCTGCAGGGGGGTTCATGTGTTTAGAGGAGAGATGATCTGCAGAGGGGAGGAGGGGGTTAATTTATATAGCGGATAGATGATCTGCAGAGGAGAGGAAGGGTTAATGTATATATAGGAGAGATGATCTGCAGGGGGAGGAGGGGGTTAATATATATAGAGGAGAGATGATCTGCAGAGAGGAGGAGAGGGTTAATGTATATAGCAGAGAGATGATCTGCAGAGGGGAGGAAGGGTTAATGTGTATATATAGGAGAGATGATCTGCAGAGGGGAGGAGGGGTTAATGTATATATAGGAGGGATGATCTGCAGAGGGGAGGAGGGGTTATTTGTATATGGAGGATTGATGATCTGCAGAGGGGAGGAGGGGTTAATGTATATGGAGGAGAGATGATCTGCAGAAGGGAGCAGAGGGTTCATGTAAATTGAGGAGAGATGATCTGCAGGGGGAGGAGAGGGTTAATGTATATATGGGTTCATGTGGGGGGAGGACAGATGATCTGCAGGGGGAGGAGAGGGTTAATGTATATAGAGGAGAGATGATCTGCAGGGGGGAGGAGAGATGATCTGCAGGGGGAGGAGGGATGATCTGCTGGGTTGGCGTGTTAGGTTCTCTTCTCTGATTGGCTGCTCTGTGATGACGTCTCTCTGTGATTCATAGAGAATGATATACAATCAGAGTGGAAGCCACGCCCTTTCTAAGGTCCTGCCCCTCCCTCATTCTCTCCAGCTCCGCCCCTCCCTGCCCATCCAGGAAAGTGAAAGAGGAAGAGCCGAAAGATACAATGTAACAGCTGGACAGGTGAGAGGATGCGGTCTGTGCCGGGACTGTATATAGGGGGAGAGGATGCGGTCTGTGCCGGGACTGTATATAGGGGAGAGGATGCGGTCTGTGCCGGGACTGTATATAGGGGGAGAGGATGCGGTCTGTGCCGGGACTGTATATTGGGGGAGAGGATGCGGTCTGTGCCGGGACTGTATATAGAGGAGAGGATGTGGTCTGTGCCGGGACTGTATATAGAGGAGAGGATGCGGTCTGTGCCGGGACTGTATATAGAGGAGAGGATGCGTTCTGTGCACGGACTGTATATAGGGGAGAGGATGCGGTCTGTGCCGGGACTGTATATAGGGGAGAGGATGCGGTCTGTGCCGGACTGTATATAGGGGAGAGGATGCGGTCTGTGCCGGGACTGTATATAGAGGAGAGGATGCGGTCTGTGCCGGGACTGTATATCATGCGGTCATGTGATCTCCTCCTCAGGTCGGGGGGGTGATGGAGGTGGAGGCGGCTCTGAAGTTGGTCGGTGAGATGAGAATCTTCCAGATCTATCTCTGCTTCCTCCTCAATGTGGTGCTGCAGGTGAGTCTGGAGGGGGTGGGGACGGGGAGATTGTCTTGATGACATGTGACCTGACACGGGGACTATGAGGGAAGTTCGGGTTCTGGGTCTCCATAGATGGAGATGGAACGGACGAGTGTTGTGGGACCCCCGACGCGTTTCACTGATCATAGATTCGTCAGGGACGAGAATCCGGGACTACGGGTCATGTGACCCTGCAATAGGCTCCTCCCATTTTGGATCTTTGCAGACGGTTCACCTTCTGTAGTTCAAATGTCAATTTTTTCCCCCCAGTCATCTTCCAGGATAGCCAATGGTAGAGAAGGCTCCGCCCACCTGAAACAGGAAACGCATCATCCACATTAGATAACAAAGACACTCCTACGAGCCCACCTCAGGTTTTGGTGGTTCCTCCGGATGGTGGAAACATCGAAACACGTGTTGTTTTACCTCAGGCCATCGTGCAGGTTCCCGGGGCCTTCCCAAGACAGGGACAGAGGATCCTGGGGATTGGCGGATCGGACCCCCCAACTGTATATGGGCGGCAACCATCCTCCACGGCGTGAGTTGGCTCCAGGTGAAGTCCCCCTGTGTGATTGTCCTACAGGTCCCATCTCCTGGTGGTGGCCCCTCTCAGGGTTTGGGCCCCCACTGTCCTGGCTGGCCTAAAGGAAGGGATCCCACCTGCAAGCCCTCCACGTTCCCTGCGGTACTCTCCTTCCTGGCAGTAGCCAGAATTCGGGTGACTGGGCCCAGGTGATTCGTTGGGGCACCGGGGGTCCTGAGGGGCTGCGACTGGCGGCCATTTCCCCCCGTACAAGGGTCTTACCAGGCCCGCAAGCTCACACGGAGTCTTGCCGGGTCTCTGGATGAAGAGGAGAAGTATGGCCTCAGCCGGGTGCCGGAACTCCAGTGTGGCACGATGGAGGAGTTGGGGGGGAAGTGACGTCACGAAGGAGTGACGCCCTTCCGGTTGGTCACTTCTGTGCAAAGGCCCTGGATGATGAGCCCCTCGCTCAAGCTGGTACTTCCGAAGGGTAGAAGATGCGCCTCTTGTAACGTCAAGCTGTCCCCATCTTTGTTTCCTCATCTTGGTGTCCTCATCTTGGTGTCCTCATCTTGGTGTCCCCATCTTGGTGTCCTCATCTTGTTTTTACCTCAGGCCATCGTGCAGGTTCCCGGGGCCTTCCCAAGACAGGGACAGAGGATCCTGGGGATTGGCGGATCGGACCCCCCAACTGTATATGGGCGGCAACCATCCTCCACGGCGTGAGTTGGCTCCAGGTGAAGTCCCCCTGTGTGATTGTCCTACAGGTCCCATCTCCTGGTGGTGGCCCCTCTCAGGGTTTGGGCCCCCACTGTCCTGGCTGGCCTAAAGGAAGGGATCCCACCTGCAAGCCCTCCACGTTCCCTGCGGTACTCTCCTTCCTGGCAGTAGCCAGAATTCGGGTGACTGGGCCCAGGTGATTCGTTGGGGCACCGGGGGTCCTGAGGGGCTGCGACTGGCGGCCATTTCCCCCCGTACAAGGGTCTTACCAGGCCCGCAAGCTCACACGGAGTCTTGCCGGGTCTCTGGATGAAGAGGAGAAGTATGGCCTCAGCCGGGTGCCGGAACTCCAGTGTGGCACGATGGAGGAGTTGGGGGGGAAGTGACGTCACGAAGGAGTGACGCCCTTCCGGTTGGTCACTTCTGTGCAAAGGCCCTGGATGATGAGCCCCTCGCTCAAGCTGGTACTTCCGAAGGGTAGAAGATGCGCCTCTTGTAACGTCAAGCTGTCCCCATCTTTGTTTCCTCATCTTGGTGTCCTCATCTTGGTGTCCTCATCTTGGTGTCCCCATCTTGGTGTCCTCATCTTGGTGTCCTCATCTTGGTGTCCTCATCTTGGTGTCCTCATCTTTGTGTCCTCATCTTTGTGTCCTCATCTTTGTGTCCCCATCTTTGTGTCCCCACCTTTGTGTCCTCACCTTTGTGTCCTCATCTTTGTGAAGACCCTTGTGCCAGGGATGTGTGGAGGAAGCCGGTGTCCCAAGAATCGGCGCGGACGCCATGAGGGAGGAAATGGCCTCTACATTTCAGTCTTCCCGGTCTATCGTTTAGAGTACGGGGCCTAGTGTGGGGGGTGCAGAACAATCCGGGCCCTTCAGGCGAAGGTTGCTAGAGTACCAGCTGGTCATGGAGTCAGCCAGAACCACTCGGGGTCACCACAGATGCTCCAGCGCTTGGGGGCGGGGAGCCCACCTCCAGGATCTCATGTGCCGGGGGACGTGGGCATCGTGTTCGGCAGAACAAGTCGTCAGTTGAAGTCTGTGGGCCCCGCCCCCTCACATTCTCAACAACCAATAAGAGGGAAAACACGTTTTAGTGATGTCAGAGAAGACCACATCGGTGGCCAACATCTACAGATGAGGAGGGACCAGGCCACAGGCCTTGATGACCTTAGCGGACTCGTTCTTTTCCTGGGCAGAGACCAAGCCGTTCCATGTGAAGGGAAGTCTGGGCTGTTGGCGGATACCCTCGGCAGGAGGGAGATGCACAAACCTTCCATTGGATAGTCCGGACATGGGCGGGGCCAGGAGTAGACCTGTTTGCGTCAGTAGGTAACAAGAAAGTAGAACGGTTTTTCTCTCTCACAGAGAACGATGGAGGTCGGGGGGTGGGCGCCTTTGCCCACCCTTGGAACTTCCAGTTGGCATATTGGGAAGTGGAGAGGGAGGAAACGGCATGAGTACTGATTGCCCCGTGCTGGCAGAAGAAGAGACTTTGGTTCACGGCACATCTGGATCTAAGCGGGGAAGTCCCTTTTTACCTCTTCCACTGAAGGAAGATCTACTGACGCAAGGATCGGCGCGTCACCCTTGCGGGTGCAGGCACTGCGTGTAACGGCCCGGGTTCTGAGAGGGGGCACCCTAATGGGTGAGGGGCCCTCTCTGAAAGAGTAGTGTCCGCTCTCCTCAGCCTTGTTCTGGAAACGAATATCCGCTTCCTGCGCACGGAAATCCGCTGCGCTAAAAGAAGCCCCGCCCTCAGCTCTCTGTGTATAATCTGATGCTCATCGGTCCCAAGTAAGAAACAGACCCTCGCTGTTGTCACGTTGGATGCTGAGCAGGAAGTCCTATCTCGTGCAGGGAGCTCCCTTTTATTTATACCAGACACAGGACGTGGCGGCCCCAACAACCAATCCGTTCCTCAATACGTTACCATGACACAGAGTCAGCCAATCGGACGCATGTATACATTTGAATAGACAACAGAAAGGGGGAGTGTATGCTCGTGCATGAGCAGTAGCAACGTGCACAGTTTACAGCTGCTAGTGCATGTGAACGCCGTGCACACTAGTTAAACCACGTGCAACCGAGTTCCCGCCAAAACACTACACAATGGAGTCGGCGTGCTGACTGGACGCTGCCTCAACCAGACCCGTTCCCGCCAAAACACTACACAATGGAGTCGGCGTGCTGACTGGACGCTGCCTCAACCAGACCCGTTCCCGCCAAAACACTACACAATGGAGTCGGCGCGCTGACTGGACGCTGCCTCAACCAGACCCGTTCCCGCCAAAACACTACACAATGGAGTTGGCGCGCTGACTGGTCGCTGCCTCAACCAGACCCGTTGCCGCCAAAACACTCCACAATGGAGTCGGCGCGCTGACTGGTCGCTGCCTCAACCAGACCCGTTGCCGCCAAAACCCTCCACAATGGAGTCGGCGCGCTGACTGGTCGCTGCCTCAACCAGACCCGTTGCCGCCAAAACCCTCCACAATGGAGTCGGCGCGCTGACTGGTCGCTGCCTCAACCAGACCCGTTGCCGCCAAAACCCTCCACAATGGAGTCGGCGCGCTGACTGGTCGCTGCCTCAACCAGACCCGTTGCCGCCAAAACCCTCCACAATGGAGTCGGCGCGCTGACTGGTCGCTGCCTCAACCAGACCCGTTGCCGCCAAAACCCTCCACAATGGAGTCGGCGCGCTGACTGGTCGCTGCCTCAACCAGACCCGTTGCCGCCAAAACCCTCCACAATGGAGTCGGCGCGCTGACTGGACGCTGCCTCAACCAGCCCCGTTCCCGCCAAAACACTACACAATGGAGTCGGCGTGCTGACTGGACGCAGGGGCCCCTCGCCGGCGTCCATACACTCGCTAAGAGGACGCCGCTCCGCAATGCACATGCACCCCCCCCCGGCACAGCGCATAGCACACCGACCATTCGTCGGCCGGGATATCCGCGCACAGATATCCACTCCCAATGGTTTACACTCTGATTTAACCCCGCCCACACTTCATAGAGCGCCGCCCAGCAATCCCGACACTGAGAGACACGAGGACAATGCTCACAGATACAATCTACTAATAAAATTTCCACAACAGCAGCAGAAAGGTTCCCATGTCAGGCGATCCCCCGCAAGGTGCGGAAGGTTTTTTTCCACTCGGGGGGACGGACGGGAAGGTGGCGCGGGTGGTTTAAGTTCTTGCGGTCAGGGTTAGATAAGAACCTTAAAGGAGCAGGTGTCCGGGGTTTGCAGAGGAGCCCCTTGTTAAAGGATTCCTGAAGGCAGCAGGTAGGTTGAGAGCCCCAAAGCTTAGGAACTCTCCTGCCTGGGGCCTGACGGTTGTCCTTCAGGGGTTCCTCGGACCGATTTAAGGACTGCTCCATCCTCGGCGCCCCCTCCTGAAAAGTCGTACTTCTGGTAAGACTTAGTGTCTGCCAGGAGAGTGAGTGAGATGCATTTTCTGTGCCGGAGCTTTATGGCACCACCCTGACGGACAAGAACGTGCTAAGACCTGAGCCGGCCTTCTAACCAAAAGTGGCCTCTACCTTCCACAGGACGCAGGAGGTCATCACGCAGGGGGTCATCATACCGTCAACTTCTCCGAGGAATGACGCGGGAAGGGGATGACAGGGCATGGATGTGAGGGGGTGTATGAAGGACTTCCTGTCCAGGACTAGTGACTGGAGGAAGTCAGATAATCTTTTTGTCCTCTTCCGGGGGTCCATGGAAGTGTGGGAGGACTTCTAGAAGTGGGATAGGGTCACTATTTCCGAGACCTACCAATCCCGGGGGGAAGACGTTACCTGGAAATCACACGGCACATTCCACCAGAGCCCGGGCTACATCAGGGGCAGAGAGAGCCGGGGCAACACCAGATCAGACCTGCAGAGCGGCCACCTGGTCCACCTTCCAGACATTCCAGAACCGATATACGGGCTCATCGGGACCCAGCGTTTGGCCGGAAGGTCCTGCAGGTGGTTGTCCCACCCTAAGTGAGTGAGCACGGTTCTCGCTGATCCTCTCATTGGCTGTCCTGGAAGGTGACCGGGGAAAATGTGACTTGGTTGCCTGGTAACTCTGTTTCTAGAAATCTTCCAGGACAGCAAATTCCTCCCGGTGACCACGTTGGGGGGGGGGATACTGGGCCCCTAGGGGTCATGTGACATAGGATTAGGAAGACGGAGAAGGTTTGGAGAAGCTGCTCGTGTCATGGCCAAGTACTGAGGTGAGTTTGTAGGAGTGTCTCTTTTATCTAATGTGGATGATGTGTTTCCTGTTTCAGGTGGGCGGGGCCTTCTCTCCCATTTGCTGTCCTGGAAGATTCCTGGAAACAGGAAAATTATCTTTCCGTACTGGTCCCCTCCTAGGCCCGTACTGGTCCCCTCCTAGGCCCGTACCGTGGTTCCCCTCCTAGGCCCGTACCGTGGTTCCCCTCCTAGGCCCGTACCGTGGTTCCCCTCCTAGGCCCGTACCGTGGTTCCCCTCCTAGGCCCGTACCGTGGTTCCCCTCCTAGGCCCGTACCGTGGTTCCCCTCCTAGGCCCGTACCGTGGTTCCCCTCCTAGGCCCGTACCGTGGTTCCCCTCCTAGGCCCGTGCTGGTCCCTATTTCCCCAGGCCCTCATTGTCTTTGGCCCTCTGTGTTTGGGGCCCCTGGATTCTTCTGTCCATCCTATGCCCCCCATCTCTTGTGTGGGTCCAGTTCCCGCCCCTGTCTTTGTACAACACTACACTTCCTGTTTGCTCTCCTCCAGTGACGGGGATTGTGGGTAATTTCCTCCATGTTTTCTCCTCAGCTCTATTCGGCCACCGAGGTTGTCCTGATCACCATCCTGGGGGCCACTCCACCATATCACTGGGAAAATGACTCTGGGGCCCCAAATTCCAGTGACCTAAATCACTCAGCGGGGGCCGAGGTGCTGAACTCCAGCAGATTACATGGCGGCCACCCGCACTTCGAGGGGAACTTCACGTCCATCAGCTCAGAGGTGAGACCCCTCCCCCCTTCCCAAGATGGAGGCTGGGTGACTGGGATATTCAGGGGTCATAGAGACACGGGGCTTGGTGAGTACAGTGCCATGGGAGACGTGGGGCTCGGTGAGTACAGTGCCGTAAGAGATGCGGGGCTCAGTGAATACAGTGCCATAGGAGGTGTGTGGCTCAGTGAGTATAGTGCCATCGGAGACGCGTGGCTCAGTGAGTACAGTGCCATGGGAGACGCGTGGCTCAGTGAGTACAGTGCCATGGGAGACGCGTGGCTCAGTGAGTACAGTGCCATGGGAGACGCGGGGGTCAGTGAGTACAGTGCCATAGGGGACGCGTGGCTCAGTGAGTACAGTGCCTCAGGAGACGCGTGGCTCAGTGAGTACAGTGCCTCAGGAGACGCGTGGCTCAGCGAGTATAGTGCCATAGGAGACGCATGGCTCAGCGAGTATAGTGCCATAGGAGACGCGTGGCTCAGCGAGTACAGTGCCGTAGGAGACGCGGGGCTCAGTGAGTACAGTGCCGTAGGAGAGGTGGGGCTCGGTGAGTACAGTGCCGTAGGAGAGGTGGGGCTCGGTGAGTACAGTGCCGTAGGAGAGGTGGGGCTCCGTGAGTACAGTGCCGTAGGAGAGGTGGGGCTCGGTGAGTACAGTGCCGTAGGAGAGGTGGGGCTCGGTGAGTACAGTGCCTCAGGAGACGCGGGGCTCAGTGAGTACAGTGCCATAGGAGACGCGGGGCTCGGTGAGTACAGTGCCGTAGGAGAGGTGGGGATCGGTGAGTACAGTGTTGTAGGAGAGGCGTGGCTCGGTGAGTACAGTGTTGTAGGAGAGGCGTGGCTCGGTGAGTACAGTGCCGTAGGAGAGGCGTGGCTCGGTGAGTACAGTGCCGTAGGAGAGGTGGGGCTCGGTGAGTACAGTGCCTCAGGAGACGCGGGGCTCAGTGAGTACAGTGCCATAGGAGACACGGGGCTCGGTGAGTACAGTGCCGTAGGAGAGGTGGGGATCGGTGAGTACAGTGTTGTAGGAGAGGCGTGGCTCGGTGAGTACAGTGTTGTAGGAGAGGCGTGGCTCGGTGAGTACAGTGCCGTAGGAGAGGCGTGGCTCGGTGAGTACAGTGCCGTAGGAGAGGTGGGGCTCGGTGAGTACAGTGTTGTAGGAGAGGCGTGGCTCGGTGAGTACAGTGCCGTAGGAGAGGCGTGGCTCGGTGAGTACAGTGCCGTAGGAGAGGCGTGGCTCGGTGAGTACAGTGCCGTAGGAGAGGCGGGGCTCGGTGAGTACAGTGCCGTAGGAGAGGCGGGGCTCGGTGAGTACAGTGCCGTAGGAGAGGCGGGGCTCGGTGAGTACAGTGCCGTAGGAGAGGCGGGGCTCGGTGAGTACAGTGCCGTAGGAGAGGCGTGGCTCGGTGAGTACAGTGCCGTAGGAGAGGCGGGGCTCGGTGAGTACAGTGCCGTAGGAGAGGCGGGGCTCGGTGAGTACAGTGCCGTAGGAGAGGCGGGGCTCGGTGAGTACAGTGCCGTAGGAGAGGCGGGGCTCGGTGAGTACAGTGCCGTAGGAGAGGCGGGGCTCGGTGAGTACAGTGCCGTAGGAGAGGCGGGGCTCGGTGAGTACAGTGCCGTAGGAGAGGCGGGGCTCGGTGAGTACAGTGCCGTAGGAGAGGCGTGGCTCGGTGAGTACAGTGCCGTAGGAGAGGCGGGGCTCGGTGAGTACAGTGCCGTAGGAGAGGCGTGGCTCGGTGAGTACAGTGCCGTAGGAGAGGCGGGGCTCGGTGAGTACAGTGCCGTAGGAGAGGCGGGGCTCGGTGAGTACAGTGCCGTAGGAGAGGCGGGGCTCGGTGAGTACAGTGCCGTAGGAGAGGCGGGGCTCGGTGAGTACAGTGCCGTAGGAGAGGCGGGGCTCGGTGAGTACAGTGCCGTAGGAGAGGCGGGGCTCGGTGAGTACAGTGCCGTAGGAGAGGCGTGGCTCGGTGAGTACAGTGCCGTAGGAGAGGCGTGGCTCGGTGAGTACAGTGCCGTAGGAGAGGTGGGGATCGGTGAGTACAGTGCCGTAGGAGACGCGGGGCTCAGTGAGTACAGTGCCGTAGGAGAGGCGTGGCTCGGTGAGGACAGTGTCGTAGGAGAGGCGGGGGTCGGGC